TTCTAAAATATTTTTACCCTGTAAAGAGCTTTAAAGTGTGCATATGTTCTTATACACTTAACTTTTACCCTGGTTTCATGTTGCAAGCATATTTGATAGCATATGTTGGCACAATATGGTCTGCAGCATTACTGCACATTCTTAGACCCAGGCACAGTTTCAAGCAGAGAACAGTAAATATGCGAGGTCTACCTATTTTTTTTTACAAAGAACAAATAAGAGCATTGACTCAGATTTTGCTCCTTCCAACAATAATTTAAATTAAGATAGTTCTATGATGCTTTCTTAGGTGTTTTTCTAAGCACTTTCCAGTCACTCCATTCCTTCTCCTGCCCCATGTGTCAGTGGGACCATACCACCTTCTAGATTACCCAGATTTCTGTGGTATTGGTTCATTTTCATGAGGTCTTTCCTCAAACCCACTTCATATATCTGTATCTTCTTTCTGTCTTGCTTTTTTACCATTATCCTTCGAATAGCAGGACCTTCTTTGGCAAGTCTGTGATGTTTCTCTAGAGTTGCTGGCCAGTGATGGACCAAAGCAATGATCTAGATAAGTACATGGCACTGGTTTGAAAATTCTAACAAGTGTAACAAATTCTACAAGTTTAACTGAAATGATACAGAATTTATGATTTTAAATAATTTGGGATTGTAAAAACTCAATAGTAATTCATTCAATCCATATATACATGGCAGATAATCATGAATATAGTTTTAAAAAGTTTTACTCTTATTATTAAATATTATTTAAAAGCAATTATTCTCACTTTTGGTTTGCTTACTATTCTTTTATTATTATTTTGTGACAATATGAGTGAGACAGGATTTACTAAGAGAAGAGCTGGAGATTAAGAAGTCATAAAGAAAGAAAAGCAAGTTTAGCGTCTAGAATCAAGGAGAAGTTTCTGATTCCTCAGTGATGGGAATATTTCACCTTGTATTTTATGAACTGCTATTTGTGTTTCTTACTTAAATTTGCATGTGCAAAAGATATATGTTTTCAGTTTACTTATGGATATTGGTAGTCTTATAATTCTACTTTTGAACCGAAGTTTAAAATAATGCACTTTTGTTAAATAGCTAAATGTATAACTTTTAAAACAAAATTTTCAAAGAAATGTTTTGATTTTTTAAAAAAAACAATTAAATCTTCCTGCTACTCTACTTTGAAGTATTCATTGAAATGCAATTTATGAAAATATATGATCTAAATCCTACACTGAATGAAAATATAATTAATTCAGTGTGTTAAAGCAAGAAGGAGTGCGAGCTTGGAAAATGGGGTCCAACAGCCACATTTCCTCCATAGGAGCCATTTGGTGGCTTGCTGGGCAGAAGCTCTCTCTGTCTGTCAGCTCTCTGCTATGACAGAATCCCCATGACTGGCAACACGAAAGCAGGGAAGATATATTTTGTCAGAGTTTCAGAAATTTCAGTCCACTGATGGTTGGTTTGTGATGGGGGGGCTGTGGAGAGACAGAACACAATCAGGATGCGTGGGAGAGCCAACCTGCTACAGAGCAGAAGGGGTCAGACCTCCACTGTGCACTTTCAGGGCCCATCTGCCTTTAGGGACCTGACTTCCCTTCCTCCACTCCCAGAGGCTCCACCACTTACTTCCTGACAGCTCTACAGGCCAGGAAGGAAGCTTTGTATGGGTCCTTAGGCAGTGGTTAAGATCCAAACCCCCAAACCCACATAGCCCAACAATTATTTCCTCATGGGTTATAATCCGAGATATTAGACGGTGTGAAAGCTCCAAGTTAGGGCTTCTTTATTTACGTTTAGCTGCAAGAATTTAAGTTGTATCATTTCTACATTTTAGCTAGAAGTAAAGAATGATAATAGTTTAAAATAAACTCATTTCTGACCCATAATATAGCCTATTGTTAAAAGTTCTCAGAAAATTAATAACCGTAGTTTTAGTAACACCAAAATTTACTTGACATTTTTTCCAAGGAAAATGGCACCATATCTGAGGGTTTTGGTAGCAAATGAGCCTGCTCTCTGCCTCTGGGAATCCGATGATGGCAAACAGTGAGAGGAATCAGACAATTATTAGAGCACCCAGAATTCTACTCTCACAGCTTTGGTGTACAGGACTTATGGAGATTGGTATTTTCTCATGCTGTCTCAGGAACCATAAAAGTCCAATTTCCAACAGTGAGGAAATTTACCAATTACTTCTAAGGTTTACACATGATCGCTATTCACTGTACTATTTTGAAAATTTTACAAAATAATCTAGTCTCACCTTGATAAGCAATCAACTACTACTGTACATACATGTTTGGAGAGAATGCTTACCACTGCCTCCTCCTCCCTGCCCAACAAGACTCCTAGCAATTTTCTTTATTTATTTCCTATTAATTGGGATGCTTATTTCATAAAATGTGGCTTAGAGGCTTTATTTTCAGCAATAATTCTAACTCAAATGCATAAAATCCATATAACTCCACATGCATTTTCCCTGTTCTCGTAATTCATCATGACAGACTTTATCATCTCCAGGCTCAAGGGTTCCCATATGGGCGGCATAAGCAGGGAGAGGGTCTCCAGGGACAGTGCTAGGTGACTAGACTGAAATGGGATTGGAAAGATCTCCAAGGTCTTTACCAAACCATATACTAAAATAAAGAAAAATGGAACTCATTGTGAACATCAAAAGCCCCTATCTAGAGTTTAATTTCTGCCTTATTATTTTAACACAACAGATTTGTGATCTATTAAGTCTTTTCCAAGTTGGAGGTAAATTTGCAAAAATGTTCCACTTTTGGAAAGTTGATATCTCTGTGAAACACAAATGCACAAAAGCCAAAATAGAAGGCATAGCATAATATCAGTGACTAAACCTGCAACTGTCTACAACCAGTCGATGCACAAAAGAAACAGAAAGTAGGGCTGCACTTTGACCTCCTTTTATCGTTGATGCTGCTGTTATTTCAGGCACATATGAGAGACAATTTGAAAAAGAATCATGGGATTTTAGTTCAAAAGATAAAACTGGTTAGTTTTGGGAGAGAAGTGATTTGTCATCACAAGTTGTATTGTAAGCCTATTATTTAGTTGGAGACAGAGTAATTCCTGTTTAGACAGTGGAGATACTTTCCAGAGTCAGTGAAGATATGGAGCATGCCTTTCTAGATTGTTCCAACAATGAAATAGCTTCCTTCAATTTTGCCTTATTTTACGTAATGAGTGGTGGCTTTTCCTCATTCGAAAGATTTCTTTATTATACGTGGCAACATAAACTATGAAATAGTATATGATTAGGAAATAAACTTTTGTTACATATATTCAGTTACTATACTTAATACTTAACAAATATATTTATTATATGATATTATAGAACTAATATTTATTGAGGAATAACTTTATATTAAGCAACAGGTATTTCTTAAATCCTAGACAAGTCGACGTTCGAAGTTCTTTCTTTGAATGTTTAAGTGGATCCAGGCAAGAGAAATCACAGCTTATTGAGTTTTTAGGTCTCTATATTTATGTCTGTTTCTTCCACGTTGTTATAAGCAATAGATACACGGTCAGCAGTAACTTGACCGGTCACTTTGGAGAGGGTGACAATTTAAAAATAAAATTGAAAATAAATTCATTTCCAGAAAGTTTTTCGTTGTATTTAATCAGAGATTCTCACAATATCACAGCGTGTGAGAGGGACCTAACCTGAAGTGACAAACGATTAATAACAAAGGGCTGCACAACTGTTTGCTCTATCTTTCCCTGAGTTGTCTGCATTCCCTGAGTTGTCTGCATGTCACCGGCTTTCCTGAGCTGGAAGCGAAAAAACCTTGCTTCTCTGGGTCTGCTCATTCCCTTCAAAGCTGTCTCCATTTCTTTGTAATAATCACTCTGTTAGGCATGAAATCAAACAGTGGAATCTGTGTTTAACTCCAGTGAGATTTTCCCATTAGAAAGAATCTCACAGGACTTCTTTGAAGGCCACTGCAAAATTACAAGATAGAATTTGGATTATGAATTGAGCAAAATTATATTTTTTCTGCTCTCTTAATGGCTTTTCCCATTTGTTCCCGCCAACACCCTCTAATTAGTCCCCCCCTAAGAGGGACCTATCTTTCTGACTTCCCCCTAAGAACAAACATCACTGAGGAGTGGTTTCACTTTTTGCTTCTCCTTCTCCGTTTTGGCCCTCCCTGCCTGCCCTCTGCTCTGCTTCTGGGTTTTACGTTTTGGATGATAACTGGCAATAGAAGAGAGACTGTGATTTACCCCTAGAGCCCAGATTTCTTATGATTTACGATCTCCAAAGAAGTGTCAGCTCTTTAGTGTTGCGGCTTTTTTCACGTTGAACCCTCCCGTGTTGAAAGGCAACATTTCTTCCCATTAAGAGCAGCTGTGTGTAAGACTACAAGAGGGCTTCTGGTTTAGGAAGATGCTCCTTTGGTGGGAGTCAGTGAAACTGAACCAGTGTTCCAAAGCCTTCTTTCTTGAAATGGCACTTTACTTCTAGAAACATTCATGTTTATCAGAAAGAGTAAACGTGTCTTGGGGGGGGAACAAACACCTCCCTCTTTCAAGGTTGCTGGCAGCTTAAATTTCTTTTATCTATCTGTAGTATACAAAAGAATGAAAGAGAAATTGATTTGCATGTTTCCCATATTAACACAGGCTGGGATAATTTACTTTGTAAATCAGCAGGATTCTAGTACATGAATGCAAATTAGATCTTTTAAATCACAAATTGAAGAAATCATTGAATTATAATTGCAAAGTAATATTATCATATGCATATTAGGTAGCTTTGGATAGTATTGTTGGTTCAGCTATACAGCAAAAAGGGCTCTGACATTATGTGTTCACTCTTTTAATATTTTAAAGCACCAATGATCATGGGACTGACCTCTTCCAGCCAGCGAAAGGTCAGACGAGATTGCTCTCTGGCATGACTGACCCAGTGTTTTCGTTTACTTGTTGTTCTATTCCTGTGTTCTTGTTTATCTTCATTTCATTTTTGTTTTCAGTTGACATGTGGTCAGTAGGGTGCATCATGGGAGAAATGATAAAAGGTGCAGTGCTGTTTCCTGGCACTGATCGTATCCTTCTTAGCAGCCAGGGGGCTCTCCGGGTGTCACCCTGAAAGAATTTCCCAAACAGTTTCAGAAACAGCACTGATGGTATCTATGCACCGCACTCTTAGGGCCTCTGTGGGACTCAAATGTGAGCTCTTTACATTTGGTATCCTTGCAGAGTCATCTTGTGTCCCACCAAACCCTCCATGGATAGTACAGGATCAAATAGCAAAGACTCAACAGCATGTAAATAGATCTGCCTTAATCCAGTTCTGCCAAAATAACAAGAGATAGACTCTTACATATTATTTGTAAAGGTTTCAAAATTAAGATGTAACAAGATAAAAATGACAAAAACTTTCAGTTTTAAGACTGAAGACATACTTTTGCATCATGAGAAATATTCACTTGGCTCAGACATCTTTAATTATGTTTATGTTCACTTACACATATACTTGATTTAACATACATTTAGAAAGCATGTATATACCCTTCATTTTCAAATTGATCAACCTCTTCCAAAATTATTTTTCTCATTCTTTTCATGTATCAGACTATCTTGAAATCTGTTCTTATTTTCTTCGGATTATGAACAACTGCAATAATTAAAACCTTATAATTGATAGTGATTACAAAATATGTATATGAATAAGTCATTTAAATCACTTCGATCAGTAAAACTGGTCCTCTCCCACACTACAAATTAGTAAGTAAAGATTCAAGGCTTTGAAGTATTAAATAGATGTGAAGGATGTGAGATTAATATGTAGATGTGTAATGGTTTCCACCATAATGTTTAAAAATAACTTCCTACCTTGTTACTTCAACATCCCTTATATTGTCACTTAAGAAAATGTTATATGTTCATCACATTAAAGATAAAACTTCTACCTTTTCAGATGATCATAATCCAAAGGTGAAACTGAGCCTAACATAGTAGGGTTTAATGTCTAATTATAGTAAACTAATCACTAACATACTATGTTCATTCCATATCCTGATTAGCCATTTGCTTTAAATTTCTAAATATATATTGAAATTCTTATCAAATGTCTATAAACTAATAGTAATGCTGGCTTGAAAAAACAAAATTCCTTCACATTTCTAAAAACATGATTTATTTTATTTGTAATAAACTATAACAATTTAACATTTGAATACAAATAGAAAATAGTTTGGGCCAATTTTAGAGAATTTCATGAAAAGATTTAATCTGTATACTCTCTTCTTTTCTAGAAATTCATTGTGGTTGAAATAATTGACTTAAATGAATATTTGCCACCTGTCAATTTAAATGGTTTTTAGTACTTTCCTTACATTTTTTATTAAGAAGAATTCAAACAGATTTTCACAACTGAGTTATTAAACTGAGCTTAACATTTATTGGAATTATTTCTTGGAAAAGTTGTTTGAGTATCATTTTGTAATTTAGATGTCAAAATTCCTTATAAATAACACATTAGAGCAGGTAATGTTAGGTGCTGTTGGTATTTTAATACTGAGTTTTGTTAATGATTTCATGTTAGTTAAGGTTTTAAATCAGTCTTTGAAACAAATTATGGCCAGTAAATATGGCCAGTTAAACTTTTAAAATGCAAGACAGATATCTTACCTTTCTTCTTTTTTTTAAGCAAAGCAAAGTTGTTTTTTTTTTGTACTGGAGATCGAACTCGGGAACTTGTGCTTGCGAGGCAGCTGGCGGAACCATTAAATCCCCGGCCCCCATATCTTATCTTTTATAAAAGTTATAGTTATCAGAAATTACTTATCTCAGTCCATAAAATTATACCTAAATTTCTTGGTTAAATAGACTTTAAAATGGAGCTGTAAGTAAAGAGTAGGGTAATATGCATCTCTATAATACATTACAAGGAATCAAATTATTTTTATTCAATACTCATTTATATAAAAGATTCTCAAGCAGATTTCTAGAGACTTTTATAATATAAGCTGTGCATTTATTTTAATGTAACAGTAGAATTTAAAATATTACTACTCATAAGGTCCATATTGTAATGTAACAGTAAAACTTAAAATATTACTAAACTTAAAATATTACTTTTACTTTATGTCTAAAAATTCAATGTGTTAATTTCAGTGAGAAATGCAGTAAATAGTTCTTAAAATTATATATATATATATATATATAAAA